TTCCGCCTTGTACCGCATCTGACCGCGTGGGTCGGTTGGTAGATATCCTGAAGTTGGAGATTCATCTCCAGTTGTGCTGTTCAAATTCTCTGCCTCCGGGCAGAGATGATCCACAGACGAAGCAATGTCGAAGAGAAGAGTTTCATCTCTGGAATTAACTACCTGACCCCGTTTTATACGGGGTCTACGGGGAATTTTTGGCCAAGCTTACCGGCTCTGATACTCCAAAATAAACCCGGCCTTGTGTCACATCTGCTCGCGTGGAATGGTTGGTAGATGCCCTGCAGTTGGCGATTCATTGTGGAATTCACTTCTAACAGTTGACTACGTCTACGCGTCGCTGGCGAATCTTATACGTGTTGTTCTTGTACTACGTATTATCGTTCGTTACCAACCTTCGTGTGATTATTCTGTTTAGTAACTTCCCTACGTTACAACATAAAGGAAGCTAAAAAAATCAAAAAGGAATTTCAAATAGGCGAAGAAGTCCAAATAAACCATAATAAACCGTACTGCAGCGACAAAGAACCTAAGAAAGAAAGCAAGTGCAATGCACCAAATGTAAAAACGATGGCAAGATAAGCTTCTTAATGGTCAATACTCTACCCGTACCAAACAAGATGATGGAGACAAACCCCTTATACATCAATGGTTGCGTAGGGCAGATTTAAAAGTTTTTATTCTTGCTTTTTCAGGACCAATGCTTGCTAACTAGAAATTACCAAGCAGACATATTGAAAAATTGCGTTAACCCGAAATACAGATTCTGTGATAAATATCCAGAAACAATTGAACATCTTGTATCAGGTTACACTGTGTTAGCAGTTACTGAATATAAAACACGGTATGATAGAGTAGGGCAATATCTGCACTGGTAAATTTGTAACTATTACGGAAAGGAAAATGCAAGATATTGATATGAACATCACCCAAACCCGATTACACAGGTAGGAACTGTCACAATTTTATGGGACTTTACAATACAAATAAACAGAACAATCAAATCTAATCGCCTAAACATTGTAATCAAAGACCAGAAGAACAGAATGTGCATTCTTATTGATATGGCAGTCCCTGCAGATTGTAATATATCTTCGAAGATCTTTAAAAAAACACTATCAAAATATAAGGATCTTGAAATGGAAATCTAAAAAATATGGCATATGAGAATATCAATAGTTTCAGCTATAGTAAGGGCCCTTGGATTGATTGGAAAAGATTCCGATAGACTCATTGAAGGGATTCCTGGTAGTTCATGCCTTAAATAAATAAAAACAAATTGTACTCACAATTACAGCTCACACATTACATAAGAGATTTAGCTATGAAAAATGTCTGTGATCTTGTTTTGTTTTTGTTTTTTTTTTTTTTAATAATTTATTTATTTTTCAGTATCTGTCTATATTTCTGAGATGACGTATTATGTACACCAGGGGTCGGCAACTCATTCGACCCCGCGGGCCGAATCGTGTTATAATGAGGGGTCGCTGGGCCGGACGAAGGCCATTAATGAATAATTAAGGAAAACCACATATGCAGACCCCTGTCAACCTAAATATTTAAAACCATAATGAAAATAAACATTGAGAAATCAGAAAAACAATAGAAAATCTAAAATTAAAAAAACACCTAACAAAAATGACTTTTCCTCAAGGAACGTCAAAATACTTCAAAGTAAAAAAAAATCAACCGAAGTGAAATGGATGAAATTATGATGTGTAGGTTTGAAACTGTTATTGAAAATTGTTCCACAAACGAAACCACACACACACACACACACACACATCAAACAAAAACGAAGCACATATACCCATACATACGAGTACAAATAGTTGCAAACATATACACTTACGTACGTACACATGCCGTATCATCCACACATTCATGAGGCATGTATGTATAATGCGCGTATGTTTAACTGTCTTTAGATTTCTGCTACCCCGCATGTCAGTCCCTCCCTGGCCTCTTTCACTTAATCGTTCCTTTCGCTTCTGTTATCTTTTAATGTAGCCAAAGGTCATAACAAATATGTATCCATTGTTTGACATTAAACGTAGGCAACGCAACTTGGTAAAATAAGTCTCATGAAAGATAACTGGCAGATGGTCTAATTCGAAAGCGTCGTCTCTCATGTTAAAAATAGAGTCATTGGTAATCAGGCTCGCGGACCGGTGAAAATGCATTCGCGGGCCGGATCCGGTCCGCGGGCCGTAGGTTGCCGACCCTTGATGTACACTATTTACATTATTCGGGCTATTGTTCTCATCTTTGTCGCCATATTTATTACAACGTTGTAAGCTCCGGCCTTCTTCAGGTGGTTGGAATGTCGAAGTGAACTCTTTATTTTGCTCACTGGGGTAGACTGTTTTAGTTCCACGTACCATGTTTAATGGATGTTCTCAAGGACACATGGTACAGTGGATAAAGGCGTTAGTTAGATCCAGTAAGAGGACCCAAAATGTGTGAGTTCAATACCCGGTTAAGTCAGTGGAGAACATGGATATGGGAATTAACAGGAGATAACTTACAATCCATTAAACATGGCACGTGGAACTAGAACAGTCTACCCCAGTGAGCGAAATAAAGGGTTCACTTCGACATTCCAACCACATGAAGACCGTACAACGGTCGAAACGTTGTTATTTACTTTTATTATAAAAATGATCAGCGGAAAATGTCATGAAACCATTTCTGATCTTAGGTCTCTGTTTGGGACCCGGAAGGAAATGTGTATACAACAGAAATCAAAGGAAATAATAATAAGATAAATATTAATTTTACTTATAATTGCTCGATGATTCGCAGATTCCGAAATCCATTCATCAGCAATGAAAATTATTTAATTAATTTTTATATATCACACTTTTCTTAACGTAAGTTTATTTTAATTTATTTGAAAGATATTAATGCGACCTTTCAATTGAGTTAGTTTTGTAGGGAATTATTTCCGTTTTGCTTTCTTCCCCTGCCCCTTCAGGATGTTAGCTATTATGGCTCTCCACAATTTCCAGTGTTTTGTAGCGCTTAGTAAATTTTCTCTTTTTGCTATCTCTCCTAAACCCTGTTTTGCCGACCATTTACAGAAACTCGTTAGATAGTTTATGCTGTTTCCTCTGTCCCTCTTGTCATCAGTATGTCTTGAGTGTGTTGAATTTCTCATTATGTCCCCTTGATATGTCCCGGAAAGGGATATATTTGAACGAAGTAGCTAAGTGGTTTTGGCTACTATAACCAAGTAGAATACGATAGCAGTAATCGATTGGTACGCGTCGTAGTCGCAGGTAAGAAGTGTAGATTAATGGCGTAGTCCAATGGGTGTCTGTATAGACTTAGCTCTCAGACTAAGGCTCTCCTGACTCCTACACGTCCGTCGGTATTTATGACGGACACCAGCCAATCATATTCCAGTGAGGGGGAACACAGTTGTACGCATATTCCATTATATCACCCCTGTAAACTGCAATTGTCTCTTTCTGATGATAAGTATAAGTATCCCCTTTTGTTTTCATTTTCAGTAAAATTTCGTCATTACTGACATGTTCAACCTATGGTATTCTCAGCATCCTTCTGTAGAACCGCATTTCCGTTGCCTCTTTTTCTCCATCTGTGAGGATATTGTCTAGTATTCACTGCTATATATATATATATATATATATATATATATATATAAGCACCGATATTACATAACAATTCAGTACTCTCATCCTCGTTTCTAACAACATTTTCCTGTTCCTTAATACTTTTCTTAGCTTTTGGAAGGCTCTATTCTACTGCGCCGTGTTGCATTTTCTGTCTTTTGTTAAAGCAATTCTCAGATAATTTTTACATAAGTCGGTGTAAAAGTTCTTTCTGAATAAATTGTATATCTAGTGAAGTGTTTTTTCCTGTTTATAGCATAGATAGATAGATATATAGATAGATAGATAGATAGATAGAAACTGATATAGTTAGAAAGAAACAGACTGAGATAGATAGATAGATAGATAGATAGATAGATAGATAGATAAAAACTGATATAGTTAGAAAGAAACAGACTGAGATAGATAGATAGATAGATAGATAGATAGATAGATAGATAGATAGATAAAAACTGATATAGTTAGAAAGAAACAGACTGAGATAGATAGATAGATAGATAGATAGATAGATAGATACTGAGATAGATAGATAGAAACTGATGAGATAGATAGAAAGAAATAGACTGAGATAGATAGATAGATAGATAGATAGATAGATAGATAGATAGATAAAACTGATATAGATTATAAATAAATAGATAGATAGATAGATAGATAGATAGATAGATAGATAGATAGATAGATAGATAAAAACTGATATAGTTAGAAAGAAACAGACTGAGATAGATAGATAGATAGATAGATAGATAGATAGATAGATAGATAGATAGCTTATAGTTTTTTCATACATTTGGCATTAAAGGATTTCAGACTTATCTCAAGGATTTTTAATATATTTATAATATCGTGATTATTTAAAATAATCGCGGAATTAATATCGAGTTCATTAAATTCACTTATGTGCTAATACTAATGGAAAAAGTATGAATACCATTCTTCTCCCCCCAGCTATGGATAAATAGTAGAACAGACTGCGTTCTACAGCACTGGGTGGCAACCGATCTAAGAAGATGAAAAATCTGAATTCATAACTGTATGTAGTCCTGACAACGTCTTATTCGAAAGGGAAAGTGTCGAATTTTTTGCAGAGTGACTTTTAAAAACCTTTTGTTTCGTTAATTGTCTCCATCGAAAGCTATGCTGTTGATTTCTATTTCAAGATTTTACCGCAGTAGACACTGTGCACACAATCAAACGATTGAAGTGCTTTCAGCTGGTTTCTTCCTTGTGTGCAATTAGTCAAGCCATAGCGCCCTCTAGAGATTCTTTTACCTGTACGCTTGTACAAATACCTTGCGCATCATTTGTCCAAATGTTTTGAAACCCGATCGACAATAGAATTTCAGACACTCGTAAATGTGTATGTATTTTGCATTTATCTATCTATCTATCTATCTATCTATCTATCTCAGTCTGTTTCTGTCCCCACTCTCTCTTTATCTATCTATTTCAGTCTATTTCTATCTATCTATCTATCTATCTCAGTCTGTTTCTGTCCCCACTCTCTCTTTATCTATCTATTTCAGTCTATTTCTATCTATCTATCTATCTATCTATCTATCTATCTATCGCAATCTGTTTCTGTCACCACTCTCTCTTTATATATCTATTTACGTCTGTTTCTATCTATCTATATATCTATCTGTCTGCCTACTACGCTTATGGCTATATCAAGTTGAAACACCGGTTCTCATACGATCACCAGAGTTAAGCAACGTCGAGCCTAGTCATTACCTAGATGAGCGGCCGCTTTGAAATACCAGTTGCACTGAGCTTGGGTGTGCGGATGGTGTAATGGATAACGGCAAAGAATTAGAAATTGGAAAGATAAGTTCGAATTCGCGTCGGGTTTGTTTTATTCAGTTACACGCAAATACCATTGGAAAAGCTATGAATCCACATCTTCACACTCAAAAATTTAAATGACCTTCAAATGTTTGATATGCCGTAGAAAACGAGTCGATAATTTCAAGCTTTAGATTTGTTATCCGTGCCAATAAGAAAGTTATAAAAGACAGTCTTATATATATATATATATATATATATATATATATATATATAAAGACAGGATGTGTGTGTAACGAATGCACGGCCGCAATTTTCGACGGATTTGCACCAGAATTTACATGCACATGCTCCAAGTTGTTAGCGGGAAGGCCAAGACCGACTTTGCATTTCCCAACTCCCATCGATAGTGGAAATAATTGATTTTTTCATGCTTCTACGGCAGTTTTCATGTAGTTTGCGGCCATTTTCTACTGGCCACGAATAGGCAGGAAGATTCTGTCCAGCGTGAGAGCTAATAGCTGACTGACACGAATGTTAGCTAGAATGGTAGCATGCAAAAACATCGATAGCTGCATTCGTCACAAGTGGGAAAAATTTAAATCTGCATGGCACTTTACTCCAATTGGCTCATTCGCTTGCTTAAACTCAACGTTGATTCTGATTCCGCAGAACTGGGTTGGGTGTGAAAAAGTATTTGTTGTTAACATTCTTTTTTCATTCGGTTTTTCCAGTTACGAGTCCTTTTTTTAAAGCTGATCGTTTTGTGTTCATTTTGTTTAGTTCTTTTTTCATAACAGATTTAATGTTTAGTATAGAGCTTAGAAAAAATTCGCAGTGTGAGATAGGCAAGAAATAAAGCATGTAGCAACGTCAGCACGGCAAAGGGCACTCCTTTAAAGGCAAGGAAGGGCAAAAATATTTTAAGTCAAGTGATAGCGATTGCTGTATGTGTCGTACGATTTTTGAATCAAGCACTGGCAACGCCGGGCCATGCTGCTAGTATATATATATATATATATATATATATATATATATATATATATATATATATATACATATGTGTGTGTGTGTGTGTTTAGGCAGCATTGTTTCATTCATACATGTTTCATTAAATAATATAGACATGTCTTGTCTATTTATTTTATATAAATTCTTTTCATAACGTCTGATAAGCTTAATAACATTATCATTAAACGAAGAAAGAAAATCACAATATTGATACATACTTTTTAATCCTATCTAAGCTTTCGGCTTACATAAGCCATTATCAAATATGGTAATTACATTACAATATATTAAGCAATACAGGGACAAGACAGTGATGATAGTCTGTTTCTGTTTACATCGAAGATTTCCAAGCAACGACAAACTCGTGCATATAAGACGCTGGAAGCGAAAATCCCACCGCAGCTGATGACGTCACATATGACCCCGCGAGAATGATTTCGAGAAGTATTAAGTCTGGGAAGCCGTTGGTATAAGCCAATGGCTTCTGTTACCAATTATAGGTATTTAAGAATATTTGTGGAGAAGAAAAGGAGATGCGACTCTAGGTAGGAATCGAACCTACGTTCCCCGTGAAAACGGCATTTAAACTAGGTACGCTTTTGACTGCTAGGTCACGACAGATAGCACATTTTCAATAAAAGGCTTATTTATCTTATATAGAAAAGTAAGATCTCCCGTTAACACTTTCGACGCCTATTTCAGGAAATTTTATCTTAATACCCGAAACATAAACAATGTAATATGATATACATGATGTCTATAAAGTCTCTTTAAATTTTAAAAAATATATTACAAAGGCAATTGATGAGATATCTTAATCAGATTTGTTCTATGTACTCAGTAGTTATCGGCGTTTTTAATCACATTGAATTTGTGTATTTCTGGTATCCTGTTGATGAAAGAGATACTGTTAAATGAAGCTTTGATATTTCCAGACCGGTGTATTGGAAGTGATGCCCTAATTCCCTGGCCACCTCGTTCACCAGATCTCACTCCCGTGGACTTCTTTCCATGGGGTTATGTTAATGATGTCGTGTATCGAACACAGATACGGGACATCTCTAACCTAAAGCAAAAGATCACTGATGCTATTGCCACCAATGATGAGGCTATTCTACAGCGAATATGGCAAGAAATCGACTACCGTCTTGATGTGCTTCGTGCAACTAATGGTCCCCATATCGAGGTGTATTGAATTAGTTAAAAAACTTCAATATGTACTCCTCATTTTGTGACGATTTCCACATATTTGTATGTTCATTTTCCTTTTGTAATAATTTTTTTAAACTGTAAAGAGACTTTATGGACACCTGCGTGCCATCTGTGGAGTTAACCTTCAAGACAGGACATCTAACGTAGACCTGTATAATAGGTGTAATATTGGGGGAATCGAGGCTTTTCTCATACGGTCTCACTTCCGGTGGACTCGTCATGTCTTGAGAATGTCTGATGACAGGATACCCAAGATCAGCACTACAGGAATGTAGGACGAACATGGCTAAGATACAATGACAAGCTGAAGAGCAACTTGTCAGCTGTCAATATACCTCATAGCACCCTCGAGCGCTTAGCCTTAGAGCGGGTAGAATGGAAATCAACGTGTTTTAGTGGACTCAGCAGTTTTCACTCTGCTTGTCCGAATCTTCTTCAAGGAGCGAGAGCAAGATCTAAAAGGTCAGCCAATCTAAAAGTGATCTCACCCCACAATCCTTTTGCTCCATATGCGCCCTCCTTTGTAAATCACTAGCGGGTCTTAAGTGCCACTTAAGATTATCGCACAAAATTCCATAACTAAAATCAATTAAATTGTCAGAGCCTCATACGTCGATGTGTATATGTGTGCGTCTTTATTAATCTACGTGTGTATGATCGCGTATATATGCCTTTCATTGTATGCATATGTTGCCTTTTTTAAAGGGCTGTGGACATCTATTTCCAGTTTCGTTCGTGCTTTGCGTGTTTATATATCTAAGTGTGTGTGTATTATAATCTGATTGTGTAAGTATTGTCTTTTGCAAGATTCCATCCTCCCCTGCCCATATCACCACTTCAAATGTATCTAAGTTGTAATGAAGCTTTACATCCCTATTAGATTTTAATATTTATTCTGAGTTTTTGGCCTTTCAATTAAAACAAAATAAATAACAATATATATGTATTTTTCCTCAGTTTCTTCTTTAAATAATTTTATGATATTTTAAACTTAATACAGATTAAATATAAAATTTAAAATTGGTAATTTTTAATTTTCAATTTTATAGTAAACATTGATATTAATTAGAATAATTTCTATTTTAGTCTAACCCTAACATTAAGGCATTAATTATTATAACCAAGGTTTGGTTGTCAAGTTTTTTCAATTCTCATATACTTGTATTTTGATTGGTCATTGCAGCTTATGTAACAGCGTTTCCGCTAGCGAGGGGTATTTGATTTGAACCTTTTAAAACCCTTGTTATAATTTTCAAATAAATATATATATATATATATATATATATATATATATATATATATATATATATATATATATATATAAGTATAGGATTGGTGTATACGGAATAAATTCCAATAAGCAACAAATACTATTCTTAAAGAGTGCTCAATACAGAGTAGAGCAAATATAATTATTTATTGAAAAATTATAACATAAATATGTTATAAAATCACTACAAATATAGCCATTTGTTTCAACACTTCTGTGTGTTATCAAGTGATGGTGTTGAATGTATAAACATTCAACACCTTCACTTGATAAGGCACCAGAACTGTTGAAACAAAATGGATATTTTTGTAGTGATTTTATAACATATTTATGTTATAATTTTCGAATAAATAATTATAAACATATCTATGAAAAATACGGCCTGACGATTGCATCCTGTCGCGACTGAGTATTGACTTCAGTGTTCACTTTTATATTTACATACGCTCTATCTCTGATACTGAGCACTTTATCCCATATATATAACACACGTTAAAACTATATCTCTTCAAACAAACCAAACCCTCACATAATAACCGTTAGAGTAAACTACAACAATCAATCCAAAAATTGGACAAATAAATAGCTACAACTACTACATAAACGATCAACAAAAATTTTCACTACGTTACTTAATTTGGAAAAAGAAAAGAATAAATAAAAATATACAAAATAAATAAATAAGAAAAACAAGTAAAATAAATTAATCCAAATAAACAAATTAACAAACCGTTCCCGCTAAAATAACCGTTAGAATAAATAAAAATTAAAAATAAATATCAAAAACAAGTAAAAATAATCAATCCAAATAAATAAAATAATAGAATTTAAAAAAAACACTGCCCCTGCCAAAATAACAGTTAGAATAGACTACAGAAATCAATCCAAAAAATGCACGAAAAAATAGCTTTAATTACCTTTCTAGACCAAAACAAACTATTAAATAAACGATCTAAACTCATCTCAAATTTCTTTTACTACGTTACTAAAACATCGAAAGCCGTAAAGAATAAGTAAATATATAAAATAAAAAATAAAAATAGACATAAATAAAAAAAATAATTAAAATAAATTAACCCAAATAAATAAATAAAAAAAACACTCTCGCCAAAATAACCGTGAAAATGGACTACCTACAATGCATTATTGATCCGTATATATAAATAGTCGAGAAAAAACCCAACACATGTGGCCTGGGGATTGCGTTTAGCATGAAATATCCTTTCGCCTCTGAGTGTTGGGCTTCAATGTTCACTATATATATATATATATATATATATATATATATATATATATATATATATATATTCTAAGGGACCTTACCCATAATAACATAATGGACTATTCCATACATAATAAATACTGCGCCTCAAGAGGAAGCAGGAGTTCAGTCTGAAGACTGAAGAGGAGGTCTGTCAGAAGTCCGTCAATCAGTCAGAGCGAGCGAGGTCAGTCAGTCGAGTCAGAGGCAGTCCAAACAGAGTCGCGTTCAGACAATTACTACTAAACCTGATTGTTCGTACTAACACTTTCTACTTCTCTGTATATATTCCTGTTTGTAATATTCTGTGTTATTCCATATCCGTGTTCAAGTTCTTCTTTATTGGTTCCACCTTGGACTATCACCGTGGTACAAGGAACGGACCATATATATATATATATATATATATATATATATATATATATATATATATATATATATACAGGTAATATGAAAATGAAGAGGTACAATTCCAATGTCCTTACATTTAATTTAAAAGAGGGCTCAATACAGAGCAAAAATATTATTTATTTTAGGATATTAAAACGTAAAAATCGCTACACAATTGCAGTCGATTCTAAATTACTGGCGAGTGAACAATTAATTTGGTTTAAAAGCAAAATACATACTCTTTTTTCGAAAAAAAAAAAACAACCCCATAAGCCTTATAACCGTTTTTCTTTTTTTCTTTTTCTTCCTTTTTTGGAAAAAGAGGATGTATATTTTGCTTTTGTAACCAAATTAATTTTTCACTCGCCAGTAATTTACAGTTGCCTGAGGAGACACATTGGTGTGTGTCGAAACACGACTGCAATTCTGTAGCGATTTTACATGATCTTTTAATATCCTAAGATGCATATATATATATATATATATATATATATATATATATATATATATATACTGAATTCTGTTCTTTTTATTACTTTCATACTTCGCTGGAGGGCTTCATACGTATAAGTATAGGTATAATGCATATATATATATATTGGTCTACTTTCTATAGCCACTTAACTACCTACTAGACTAGCTTATGATGATTAACTTCTCATTCTCTCATTTCGTCTGAAAAACGAAGTCAGAACTTGTCAGATTTTAGGAAGTGTCGCAGCCGTAAAAGTCACCCTTGTTAACTTGAATTGAACAACATGACATTTTGAATAGACCGACGGTCAAATATCAATAAGCGTTAGACATGCTCCAAAATGGCACACCGACATTTGTTTTCAATATATATATATATATATATATATATATATATATATATATATATATATATATATATTATCTTTCATGGTCTGATGACCCCGCCTCCTCATCTTCACGACACAGTTAAATACGCCCCCTAATTTCGTTGGTATGTTTCGGGAAGAAAGGAAACTGACGGATATCATATATTCCAAAAAGAACCCACGCCAATGTCAGCTTATCAAAAGAAATTGCTATTTCTTTCTCCTTTTTTTATTACTTTCTTTTCTTTCTTCTTTTTTGTTCCTTCATTTTTTTTCTTTTCTTTTTCTTGTTACTCTTTCTTTCTTTTTCTTTTTTTTTTTTTTTTTTTTTGTTTCTCTTTCAGATTTTGCCTTACTGGCTACTATTTCTTTTTCTCTCTTGTCTCCTTTTCCTTTCTCTAGTTTCCCTCGCCTCCGAAAATGTTGATCCGTTTCACTATATTTACTAAACATTGCTTCGTCTGGCTCTAGTCGACACGCCGCCTATGCTACAGAGTATTTCTAAGAGTGCGCGCATCCGACTGCTCGTCAACTCGTAGCGGCTTCAGTTCGGCAATTAGTCGAGAAGCGATGCTGCCCACGTGACTTGCATTTGAAGAGCTTACTCCGGACGTTAGCGTGGCATAACGGTTATCAGTGAGGAAAATGAAATCGGCGAGCCGAGTTCAAATTCCAGTTTAGTCAGTTGCGCTTACTTTCGCACTAGTGCCCCTGGGAAAGGCATGAATCTATCCCTTCTCTCCCCCCACCCCCGCAAAAAAAAATATCGGGGTAACCTGGAGAAACACTAATCTGAATTACAAACCGTGGAGAAGACATCAGAAACCATTCAACTCTTATTCCCAAGACGTCTTGGAAATTCACAGTTAATTAAATATAAAGGAATCTGTGTAAAATCTTGATCGTCTTCGTAACATCGCATTAAAAATAAAAAATAAATAAATAAGATTCTGTGGGGTACCCGCTAAACTAACTTATTATCTACTATATGATAATAATATATAATCTAATAATATGTTTGGTGTCTACTCGTTTCCAATGATGCTAGTCTGTTAAGGTGTATAGATAATCCATTACAAACACCTGCTCAAGCAAATGTGTATGATTTCAACACTAAAATAGCAAACCTGTGGTTTATACTGCAACGACGGAAAGCAGACCTTAGTTACAGTTTCTCAAAGAGATCGCTCTAATATGAATGTAGCACGAACAGTAAGTACCTGACTCCTCATCCTATCCTCTACCTTTACAAGACCCAGATCAGGACGAAAATAGAATTACTGCGGGAGCTGCCCAGTCCTCACTTTCTAGTCTCGATAGAGTCCAAAATATTCTCCGAGTCTTTTTGAGTGAAGAATTATTTTCCACCCTCTAACCTATCTCTCACAGGCGGGATGTGTCTAGACTCTTGTTGATCTATCGCTATTTCCATAGAAAGTTCTCGGACGAACTGCATTCCTTGGCTCCGCCAGATTCTAATCTTCATGGCTAGGTCCCACCATGTCGTACATTCCCTCCGTATTCCATCAGTGAGAAGTTCCACTCCAACAGCTTCTTCCTCTGAACCACTGCTCTGTGGAACCGACACCCAAGAGGATGTTTCCCCGATCACTACAATCTTAACCAGTTCAAGTCTAGGGTTAACCGTTATCTTCCCCTCCTATCCGTAAAGAGTACCTCTTAAAGTAACCTTCTAGCACGAGTGTCCCCGGGGACTGGTACAGGGTGAACCTTACTGTAAAAAAAAAGGGTATTAGGGTCGAACTTTACAAGTAGAAACACCAACGACTTCCGAAGAATTTCCACTTTCTAATTTCTCTCACAAGGTTTGGGTCAATCCATGGTATGATTTTCAGGCTAACCTTACTACCGAAACAAAGTATATTTAATATGCCTAATTTCGTCCGGCACAAGATGAAAAAAACACGGACATTTTATCACTCTGTTGTAATGAAATCCTGTTATGCTTTGTTCAATTATTATCTTTCTGTTCAAATGCAATAAGTATATATATATATATATATATATATATATATATATATATATATATATATATATATTCTTCCAGAGACACACTCTTTCGCAGTGTGGCTAGACATCCGACTGCCTCAAGCCGGGATCGAAACGCGACGATATGTTATTAGTCGGAGATTTTACCCCTAAGCCATTACGATAAAGGCGATTTAGACGTATTCATTTTTAGACAAACACGTCAGTGACAGGATAACTCTATCTATCTATCTATCTATCTACCTATATATATATATATATATATATATATATATATATATATATATATATATATATACAACTCACCTAACTCCACCATGTGAGCTCACTTTTAGAGTAGGTCTGACATTTCATTCGTCGATCAAGACATACCCACAAGTCTATTTTTGTATTCTGACCTTATCTTACTCCACTTTTAACTTTTCGGAAAGGAAGATAACGCTTTGTATTTAAATTTCCTTAAAAATATTTTAATCACCATTTCATCGCCTGAAGAAGTACAATCATAGTATCGAAACATGAAAGCTTTTGTGTAGCGATTTCAAAATGTTTTTATTATAATCTCTTATAATAAAAATATAATATCTGTCTATATCTTTACACACACACACACATATATATATATATATATATATATATATATATATATTCGCTTGTATTCTGATATATTTTGACCTCTTTTGATCCTTTAGCGTTATATCTAACATTTCTTTTGCGATTGGTCATTGCATGTTTCAAACTTTTTTCAAGCTTCATATATATATATATATATACTAGCAGTAGAGCCCGGCGTTGCCCGCGGATGTAACAGTAAGACATAGATCAAGTATCAATCATCATAAAGACTGAGAAATAAAATTGACAAAGATTATTTTTTAAGGTTGACGGACACGCATGTCTTAATTAGTTTGTTTTTTTGTTTTTGTTTTTTTTTACGAATTAAACAAAAACATTGTTTTCAATCGTTATGTCTACCGATTGAATAGAATTTTATTATAAACAATTGGCTTGTAAATGGAATTTTTAAAGCATTCTGAATGTAAAAATAAAGAAATAAGTGTGCAAGACAATAAGAAACACTGCCTGCCAAAAAAAAAAGTGAAGTTTTGTTGAAATCTGTTGAAAAATGTAGGAAATCTGATCCCATATATAAATGAACACACACACACACACACACACACAAACAACCTGGGTTTTTATAATAAGTGTAACTCGATATGAGTTGTCCCCCTTTCATTCTGGCGACAGAATCGTGTTTTATCGTGTTTTCAAATTGATTTTCTGTAAAAACAATTGAGTTTTTCCAATTTTTGGCGCTGTCAGAACCACCGCAAGGTAATTTTACGCAGTCCTGTGAAGTTTTGTTGAAATCGGTTGAAAAATGTATGAAATCCATTCCAATATATAAACGTACAGACACACACACACACAATCTGCGTTTTATAATAAGTCAGATATATATATATATATATATATATATATATATATATATATATATATATATATATATATATATATATATATATGTCACTAATGTGTACGTGCGTGCGCATGTGTGTGTATTACTTAAACAATAAGAAATCATTATCACTTTTTAATGGATATACTCAAAAGATATATAGATATGCAATACCGGAGGTAATGTTTAAATCGAATAGATGAACATCGTTATCCTGGGAGGGCAGTATTTTCGACTGAGAAAAACAAAACTCTGATTTGAAAACTCAGATAACTTAGTACCATGCCCAACCATGTGAGGGGTTTCGGGATTAAACCCTAAGGATAAAATCTGGCGCCGAAGTTTCAAAAGAAATCTGACGTTGCATCCAATTTCGTCCTTGCAATTCCTACGACCTTACCAGTTTCAAGTATTATCGATTTCTGCCCTCCCCTTGAACAACAATCGATGACGTACTGCATGGGTAACAGTCAATTTCATATATAAAAAAAATTCTTGTCTTATCCTCTACCCAGAAAAGGGTACTCCGTCGTCGCCTTATCAAATTCATTCTTATTCAGTTGTTTCTCGTTGGGTTTTTTGGTCCTCTCAACAAAGTTAAGCATTTTTTTCTTGTTTCCTTTATTTTATCTTTACATCCAGTTTTTCTTCCTTCAGATCTTCTTCCTTGTCGGTTTTTAATTTTTTCTTTCGTAACTCTTTATTTACTAATTTCTTTCCTGTTTTTTAATTATCTTTTTATTCCTTCATTTTATTTATTATCATTTCTTTTTTTAATTATTTATTTGTGTTTTGATGTTCTTTCATTTCCTTTCCTTCCACATTACTTCATTTCTTCAATCGCTTTTATTTTAATCTTTACTCTACACTCTTTAATTCTTCATCTGCGGTTTCCTTTATTCTTCTAGTGCTTGGAATTTTTCATTTCATTCGTCTCTATCTCACATTTCTTTCTTAAATTTTTTTTTTTCATTTTTATTTTATTCATCTTATCCTTCAGTCCAGTCTTCCCTTGCTTCTTTTAACTTTCTTTTGTTTTCGCCTTTTTTCAGATTACCTTTTTTTCTTCTTTCAGTTATTCCTACCTTTCTATTCTGTTATTCATTCATTTATTCATTCATTCACATATCCATTCTTTCCTCTTTCCTTTCCTTATACTTTAAGTCATTCTTATTTTTTTCTTTTATATTATTCATTCAGGTATTTTTTTTTTTTACTTCCTTCCTTCGTTGCTTTTATACAACTTTTTTTTTAATTTTATTTTCTCATTATTTACTTTCACAGTTTATTTGTGTCTCCCTCTTCTCTCTCCTTCTCTCTCCTTTTTTTCTCTCTCTTTTCAGCTTGCCCCACCCCATATCAGTTCCGAAATTGCTTCCCGTTGACAAAACTGTCCCAAAATCCGAATATAAATGATATTAAAAATTACAAATAAAAAAAAGGAGAGAAACACACTGAGACAATTGATTACGATGCGGCCTTCCAGCTTTCATGATATTTGTGAATATTTTCCGACATATATTTAGTCTCCCTGACATTTATTTTGACTATTTCCTTTTTCGTTTTTACTTTTTACCTTGTTGATTTCTATCTACCCACACCCACCCTCGTCTAAACCCCATGTCCGGACCCCATTTCAAAAATCCTGACTGGATGAGATATGATATGATGACATTGGTAACGAAGTAGACATTATCAAATGGTTTTCGTTTGCTTTCTGAAACCGGAGATCTCGTTTGGTGTAGGGGCGGGAAACGGATGACAAACCGTTGAGAAATGAGTTCCTTTAGATGGTGAGTTAATTAAACGAGTAGATATAGAAATCCAACGCATAGAGGCAGACCAACTATAGGGAAGGGAGGACAGTAACTAAAATAGAAAGAATATGTCCTGCAGTCAAGTAAATAGATACACGAAATAGAGACAGGGGCTCATAGCTGCAGCCAAGCAGGAAGACGGAAACTTATTTATTTATTTATGATTTTACAAGTACATAAATACACTTCATAATCTATATAACACTAAATCTCTAATCTTGTATGTATGTATGTTTGTTCTGGAGATATAACTTAAATAATACGTAATACCCCAACCAATTTAAAAGCATATTGTACTTCGATCACCTACCCAGCACAGTGTCGAATTTCATTCAAATTAGATAAGGGATCCCTGAGCTAAGGCCGTATTTTTTTGTTTTACGGGATTTTTTTTTTATTATGAAATTCAGTGTGGGGAAATTAATAAACATTAATAAGACATTAACAACATTATTAAATAAATTTAGTTATGCATACCATAATATACAATTCATTCCACTACATTATGACGTTTGGATGTTTAACATCTACTTGATAAGTGAAGTGTCTTTATATTTGTGTCACTGTAAAACATAACCTTTTTTATTTTAATCAATTCACCCCAAGCAAGGCGATTGAAATTCAAGGGGCTACACTGGGAACGTAAAAGAATTTATTCATAAATTCTGAAAACCTTTCCATTTAATAGTTTATTATTGCATTTGATCTAAGTAATATTGTATAAAGTAAGTAATAATAATTATTACAATAACCTGTATTAAAATATGTGTAATTAACAATAAGATTGATAATATTTTTACCACTCTGTATGAAAAAGTATCGGGAATTAAAAGAAAACTACAACACATATTAATTCGTCATATAATCTCCTTCGAATTAATCGTCTTCTTAAGTAATACACTTTAATTATCGCTTTCATTGATAGAAGTATTCCTGGGACTTCTTTTATGGGGGATAGCGAACAGCTTCTTCGCCACAAGCTCTTGTATTTCCATGACGTTTTCAAATCTTGTTCCTTTCAAGTTGGATTTGATTTTTGAAGCGTAAAAAACCTCAAGGAGCGAGATCTGGCGATCATGGTGGTTGACAGTCTTGGGGAATATTTTGCTTAACCAAAGACTGTTGCAAAAGCCATTGTCACAAGTGGAACCTTTGTGGTGAAGTGAAACGACCACATTCTACACACCTTCCTTCTAAGCACTGCTATAAACAAATGAATTGAACGAGAATTTTATAACTTATGTGTATGCACGATAGAGTTCAAGGTCAGTAGGTGACAAGCGGCTTTGCTCTGCGTACTTTAGCTCCGTCACCATAGCAAAAAGTCTCGATACCTTTTGACCTGACCTCATAGATGTGTGTACAGGGTGCGGCAAAATACCTCCCACATTTTAAATTTTGTGTGGTGCTAGTGAACTTAGGCAAGAGGCAATGGTGTCTTCATCTAGCTTTATGTCTTATCACTTTTTCAGATACCATCAGTTACCATCATGGCTTGGCCCGTTGCACACCGTACACTTTTTGTTGAAACGTTTTTTCTCCCTTTTTAATACTGGGGAATCTGTAATTGCAACACACAGAGCTTTTCGTGCTCATTCCATGTTACGGTGAAATGATTCTGTCTCGGATAAAAAAATCAATACTTCTATGGGTTGAAAATTTCAAGTTCAGCGCTTAAAAGAAAGCCACCTAGAAAAACTCGAACATCCGGGCGATGGAGAACTTTAGAAATCGTCTACAAAACTATATGGTGAATAGAGGCCACGATTTTGAGGATGTCATTTTCGAAATCAAATGAATAAAAATGTTTTTCCTTTGTTTAAATAATAGTGAAATATTTTTTAAAGCAGTTACATTGATCTTTATGTCAACCATTAAAATGTGGGTGTTATTTCTACAGCATCCTGTATAAATGACCAATCTTTACTTATTTTCGAATGAAGTAAGTAATTGTAGACAGTAATAATAATAATAATAATAATAATAGAAACAATAAAAAAAATATGATTTCGTCTTTAAATTACCCAACAAGGGTTTATATGTCGTAACACCCACCAATGCAATCCAAGTCTCACCGAAAAATGTTCCCATTCTTATTAATGACATTTTCTAAGGTCAGTTTAATGGATCGTCCGGTTCACACTCCTCCTCAGTTTTTTTTAACAGGACTAGATGTTTATCCCTTACTTCCTGTTCAGGATTGGGTTTCCAGTTACTTCTAAATTCTTTTCATTCTCTTTCACCCCACCGGTAGCCGCTTACGTCTCAGTGGCATTATCGCCTTGCTTGAGGTGAATTCACTTTAAAAATAGGGTTAAATAGACAGAAATTGATTTGAGCCGACAGATTCTAAAAGAACTCACTCCTAGTAATATATTTAGTTAGCATAACTGAGTTGACCAGAGAGCCAAATCGAGAGGGGGTAGATCGCAGAAAAGATTGTTACGGCAAGCTTTCAAATAGGGGAGGGCCTTTTACATTGGAAAGCAACGGTCAAATTTTGGCTTTATAATTGACGCTCACACTGACCTCTGTTAAAGACAGGAATAATTTAAGCTGCGTGAAAGGATTCTATCGTTTTTACTAATACCGTGAAGAAGAGAGAGGTGGTTCTATCAACGAATACTGTTAATGCCATGGAAATAACATATGAACAACGAGGACGTAAAGAAAAGCAAGATGAAAGGAATGGCTATTAGCTGTAAGAAAAAGAATGAATTGTTGTCAGCAAGGACGAGATAACTTATGTTGGCTATGGTGAGGAGACGTCAAAATGTAAGACAGAAATTTGCAATCGTAATACGATTACCAAAATATGTCTTCCAGTAACTAAACCCACCAATGCAATCCAAGTCTCACCGAAAAATGTTCAGTTACCATCAGTTACCATCATGGGTTAGCCTGTTGCACACCGTGCACTTGTTGTTGAAACTTTTTTTTTCTTTTTTAATACTGGGGAATCTGTAACTGCAACGCACAGAGCTTTTCGTGCTCATTCCATGTTACGATGAAATGATGCTGTCCCGGATAGAAAATCGATACTTCTATGGGTTAAAAATTTCAGGGCCACAGGTTCAGCGTTTAAAAGAATGCCACCTAGAAACGCTCGAACATCCGGGCGATGGAGAACTTTAGAAATCGTCTGCCACTTAACGCCACTGAGACGTAACCAGCTACTGGTGGGGGTGGGGTGAAAGAGAACGAAAAGACTTTAGAAGTAAGTTACTAGTATTCGGAAACCCCGAATATTCGTGTTTTTTTTTGTTTTTGTTTTTTTAGAACATACTAGCAGTAGAGCCTGGCGTTGCCTGGGGATGTAACAGTAAGAGATAGATCAAGTATCAACCATCATAAAGACTGAAAAATAAAATTGACAAAGATTATTGTTTAAGGTTGACGGACACTCATGTCTTAATTAGTTTTTGTTTTGTTGGTTTTTTTGGGGGGGGGGTTGTGGTTTTTTTACGTATTGGTCAAACCCAAACTCAAACAAAAACATTGTTTTCAATCGTTATGAGTCTACCGATTGAATAGAATTTCATTATAAACAATTGGCTTGTAAATGGAATTTTTAAAGCATTCTGAATGTAAAAATAAAGAAATAAGTGTGCAAGACAATAAGAAACACTGCCTGCCAAAAAAAAAAGTGAAGTTTTGTTGAAATCGGTTGAAAAATCTAGGAAATCCGATCCCATATAAAAACGAACACACACACACACAAACAACCTGGGTTTTATAATAAGTATAACTTGATATGAGTTGTCCCCCTTTCATTCTCGTGATGCCTCTTAATCGTGTTTTCAAATTGATTTCGTGCAAAAACAATTGTGTTTTTTCAATTTTTGGCGCTGTCAGAACCACCGCAAGGTAATTTTACGTAGTCCTGTGAAGTTTTGTTGAAATCGGTTGAAAAATGTAGGAAATCCGATCCAATATATAAACGTACAGACACACACACACACACACAACCTGGGTTTTATAATAAGTATGATGTACAAATTATTCGCCGAGAACTCTTTAGATTCGCGTATTGTTTATTTTTGTTTTGTTTTTTTTTTGATAGAACATATTTAAAATATTCTTATATTATTTTCCTGTTATTTAAGTGACTTAATACATATAACAGTCCATTTGGCAGAATTGTACATCTTCATTATAAAACAAAAAAACAAAAGCAAAAAAAACATGCGTACTGCTTGGGCTTTGTTCTTTGTTAAGAGCTGCGGTTGGGTTCTTAAAAGTGGCTTATCTGGAGCATCCTCACTGTTCTGTTTTAAACTTTATATTTTATGTCTTGTGACACATATTTTCAATAGTTGTTTTGATCTATGCGTAATTAAAAACGGTTACTGTACGTATGAAAGAAAATTTGCGCTACGTGTATGGTCACCAATACTATTTTCAAAAATGTTTTTAAAAGAGTCTAAAATGTTTCTAAAGCGTTTAGGATGAAAGTTTAAAGCATATGGGGTTTTAACAATCAAAATAGGTACTTATAAGCACTTTTAGGGGTAGTTACTAGTATTCGCGGATTCTAGGTATTTGCGGCCAGTTTTTGGTCCCTAACCCCAGCGAAAACGCGGGACTCACTGTAATGAT